GCGCTTTGATATTAATGGTAACGAACAATAACCCTCCGTGGTCCATTTTCCCGAAATGCTGGCCAAAATGAGATTTTATGAAATCTGTATGTAAAGTATCGAAGATAGATAAACCACTAACACGATAGGTGTTTTAAAGCTCGACTTGCTGAATGGCTTCGATCGTCGCTGAATGGCTTCCGTTTGCATCGCTTTAAGAGCTTAAAGCTTACGACGACTTCGAACGGAGGAAAATCGTCTGACAGGATTTTATCATCTTTCTTTTTTTTTCTCTCTCTCTCTCTTTAAACAGGAAACGAGAAAAACACAGAGAACGAGGCCACACCGTGCAGGATAAGAAACGATGTAACGAAACGAGGCCAAACCGCGAGGTCGAGAGAATTTCTTTCATCGTCCTTACTTTGGAAATAGTCTATTTATACTGTTTCTGTATACTAACGCACCTCCAAAATGTAGATTTTCGTGTTTTTTATTTTTTCTCTTCGATTTCTTATAGCAAAGCTGCTTTTTTAATAACGTACTAACTTGAAAATTTTAATTATTAAACTCGGAATAAATTAAACTAGAAGATACATAACAATCAATAAACATGATGAATATATGTAACAAGAGCAATGACCTATAAAAAACATATTTGTTCTGAAATACAATCAATTTTTTGCGTAAATCAACGATAACGTGTTTTTCCAGAATATATCACCAATGTTTTATCGAAAAAAGCAATGTCTGTAAATAATTCTATCTATGAAGAAATCTTCTAAAAATCGATCGATTTCAATGATAAGATTTGACAGTATAATAAATGAAATTGAATGAAAATTTGGTACAGACGTAAATGAAAGAAGCAGAAATAGTACACACGACGGTATATTTGTAATTATTGACCAGGTGATAAGCACACAATTAAAAGACGGTAAAAGTAAAAGCAAGCAAGTACTCGCTATCGAAATAAAAAAGGAAAGATAAGTTAGGTACAAATACATTTTCGTTCAAGGTTTGTAGTTTATCTAAAAGGCTACGACGGTACCTTCTTTTAGTCTGCAAACAGATGTACATATCTTTGAGGAAATATCAAGTCTGAAAATACTGAAGAAAGACAAACAACTGTGGAGAACGGGTAAACACAAGTTATCTATATATTACGACACATCGAACGAACACAATACTTGAAATTATTTAAAAGATGTGGAAAACTAAAGAGGAGAAGATACGAGTATGAGATAGGGTAGAAATACGAGATATCAAAGTTTTAATCTGTACTACATATATACACACACGTAGATGGGCGCGGCGTGGGAAGGCATGGGAAAATTACGTAGAACAGCAGGGTTCACAGCTGAAGGGGAAACTAGGGACAGAAGGGAGCGCCGAGTCGTTGGACGCTTCGTTGAAGCGCAAAGAGCCAAGAGCCAAACCGAGTCGGGAATCGGAGGGTCTTTCACGATGAGTGGGGCATTAAAGCGTCACTAGAGACGGGGAGAGAAAGAGGATATACAGAGTGTTCGAAAATACTCGAATGAAATTTTTAAGAAAGTATTAAAAAATTAGTATTCTATTTCATTAAATTAAAGCATTCTCATTTCCTTAAAATTTCTGGGGCCCAATGATACCTTCATATTTAAAGAATATAGGTACGTCATTGAGATGGACCTAGTGCTTTTTTAGTAAGCATACGCGAGAAATCCCACACTGAGCATCACTGGGGTAGAGGGGATAAAGCGGGCCAGGTCTGCGCTACCTTCAAACGCTTGGGGGTTAAGGCCCGTTACGCAACATAATAACTCCATGAATGTTTTTTCCAAAAAACATTAACCATGTTTTTCCGTTTTCGATGATTTTTTAATATGTTGTAAAATTCGACATTTTGATGTCAGATTCGTTTAATTTCTGAGAGTACTAACACGTTGAATTTCATCTATACGTATGCGTTCGTGACGATGTGTGCGTCGGCAAGTGATCCCCGCTTATCTACTGTTTCTGTCGATAGCACTACATGGCCCGGCTACCATCCATATAACGGGTGGGCTTAAAAATTAACTCATTTCAACATATTTAAAAATGATCGAAATTGGAGGGGAGCGCCTTTTCTACAAGTTCACCGAGAAAGTTTTAATTTAATGAAATAGAATACTATATAAACAATATTAATAAAATATATTGTTATTTTGTACGTGTGCAGCTGATTAATTATTCGAATATCAAGAAAGCGCAGAAAATACGCGGGCCACTTTCAGGCGTGTAATGTATACAGCTACGGCATCACGTAATGTCTCTAGCTGTAATGTCACTTACGCATGCGCACGCAGTTTCCTAGTGAGAAAAAATCCCACGACTGCGCATCACTGCTTCGGTGTAGGTTTCTGCTCTCCCATAAGAGTACGCGGTGTATCTGTATATGTAATTCTGTATCGCCAAATTTCTATCTAGCAAAGAAACATGGCTGTCGTGCACGATCAGGGGAATTGAGGGATAAAAAGAGGGGAGAGTTGAAAGAGGCGAAAGAAATGAAAGCAGCTGCAAGAGAGACGCGTGAAAGCTACTGATACTGTGCGCAAAATAAGGGGGCAAGATGAAAGGGGAGAATACTCGACCCAGTAACGTAACCACCAAGCACGCATACAGCAGGAGACATAATGAAACTTGATTAATTTTCAGTTCACGGTTAAATGATGAAACAATGTTAACGAATGTAAACACGAGTATGTTAATGTAAAACATACACAACTGTGCATAAATTCAGAGAAGAAAGAATCCTTATAAAAACATAATGAAATTTGATTAATTTTCAGTTTACAGTATATATAACAAGGATATGTAAACAGAAAATATACATATTGAAATAATGCTCAAATAATTTAGTATACTAACATTGATATACATACGTACATAAATATTACGTTATTAGGAAAGTCTTGAGGTTTTTTTTTAGAAAGCAATAGAAAGTTTCGAAACATTCTGAAAAGTTTTGTGGTATGGCTATATAAGAGAAATCCCCTGAGCTAGCAAGTTGTCGATAATGATGAACGAAGCGAGATATAAATTTCATAAAAGATATTTTACTCCCACAAGACTTTCCAAACAACCTAACATGTATGTAATTCCTAAAAAATATCGTCATGAATCTCAACAATTTAATTTTCGAATGAATCAAATAGTGATTGAAAATATAGATTTTCCCTTTTTATATATTTTCCGTAGCAACAGACTGTCAACGGAATAAAAGCGTACGACTGAAATGAAATCCTCGTTCATCCTACTGTGTTTTTTTGTGAATGCTCGAGAAGGGAACCGAGCGACCGTATGCTCCCCTCTCTTGGTTACGCCACTGACTCGACCCAGCGAGGCAGCACGGACAACCGGCTGCGCTGTTGCCAAGCGGAAATCACAGAGCTGCGGCATTTTCTTCTTCCACAAAGATACACGCTGTGCTCGCTTACCGTGTGTTGCCTTCTCCGTTAACCAACACAGAGAAATACAACCAAAATAATAACTAAATCTAATTTAGCAATATCCTTGACAGATATTGTTCTTTAATGCATACGTGTTACAATAAAAATTTAATAAATACTGTCCACCGATCATAATAAGTCCCATGAGAATAACTCAATCTGTCTGGTTGCGACCCGCCTCAGTGACGTACAATTGATCGAAACGATCACATCTACCAATCAGGCTCGAGTAAAACTACGAGTTCGCCAATGTTATTGAAAACAGAAAATTATGGATAACAAAGTTGAAATATCAAACTTTTCATCGATTTTAATCTAATGCGAAATAAAAACTTGATTAACCAATGGTACTCCAAAAAGAAGGAGTGGACGCAAAAGCTGCTTTCCCGTTAATGTCGTTAGCTTATCAAGGCAAGAATATCGATGGAGCAATACTGTGGTGGCCAGTTTCGACAAATCCGTGTTGAAAAAACATCCAATATGAAATGGAGGTCGATAGCGTGATGACCTCGAAGCCAATCGACAATTTTATTATACAATGCCGTGGCCTCACGTATAAAACATATACATACATATACAATATAAAAATATATATATGTATACGAATGCAGTGTTGCCACATCCGGATTCTGTGTAGACCAACCAAATACAAGGACATTAACCTAAAGTTATTTATATCATTTTTAAACAAGAATTTCATATATTGAAAGAATAATATTTAAAGGAACAATGTGAAATTTAAAGAATGGAAATAATATGAATTGAATTCAAAATGGGGCTCTTTTCATGGACCACCGTCGGAGTTAAAGGCTATGTTGACGACATATCTCTATAAGAGAATCACTCGTTCGAATCAATAGTAATCAAAATCAATACTATAACGAATCGAAATTGTACGTGACAAGTTTTTAATAAATGCTTTCGCAAATGACACTATCATGGTCAGTTTTGGAGGTGAAATTTATCATAAGTTATAGATACATTGCTTCTATTAAATCAACAACACTGTTCTCTCGTTCTTCTACTAGATTTTTAAATTGTTTTAATTGTGGCTTATCAGATCATCAAAAATACAAAATTGAAAAGCCAGTTATTCTGAATAGATGTAAATTTTGTATTTTCAGGAGAAGTTCATTATCTAGGGCGAATTCGCTCTACAGTACCGAATTCTGTAGACATTTCCGGAGAAGAAACTATGTGGGGGTAAATATTCGAGCAGTATACAATTCACATACAACAGATATTTTTTCGATTTACTTGAATTGCATACAGAATATCAACATTTTCTACGGAGAAGAGAGATTTCGACGAATAGTTTAAGATTTTTGGAAGACCTTCAGCTGATGCTGGACGAAAAGAAAATTTACCGGAGTTATACTAGCAGGTATATTTCTCATAGCTTCAAAGCGAGTCCGTGGCAGGTAAAACCTGTCCGCTTGGTTGCATTTTTCCCTTTTGTGAACAGAGCAGGTAGTTACAGGAGCCGACTTTCAAACGCGGAAGGACCAGAAAAAATACACAGTAAAACTCGATGAAAAACGCTTTGTGAAGAAATAATGACCTTCTATTTCAAAACTGTCGCGTTCGCAAGGATTTGGAAAGCTTTTTTACACGAACATAAATTACCACTGACAAGCAATGACGCGCAGTGTGGGATTTCTAGCGCATGCGTAGTAAGAAAGTACGTATGTACCAGGTCCATCGCAATGACATAGCTATGTTCTTTAAATACGAAGGTATCATTGGGCCCCAGAAATTTTAAGGAGAGGAGAAAGCTTTAATTCAATGAAATAGAATACCATATAAACAATGTTAATAAAATGTATTGTTATTTTGTACGTGTGCAGCCGATTTATTATACGAATATCAAGAAAGCGCAGAAAATACGCGAGGCATTTTCAGGCGTGTGATGTATACAGCCGTGGCATCACGCGATGTCTCTAGCTATAATGTCACTTACGCATGCGCAAGCAGCTTCGCGTCGTTAGTGAAAAGAAATCCTACGACTACGTGTCGCTGGAAAGCAGTAGCTGATATTATATGACAATGAAACAGGTACCCCTCTGTTAAATCGGTTTAAATTAAACACGTGTTTATATTAATATGACTCTTATTTTTAAATATAATCGCAATGCATTTTCATAACATTAATAACGATATTAACCTAGCAATATAAACCTTCCTAACAATATAACTTAGATCAATGCTTGCATCTAATATACTGCATCAACCTTTTGTCAAGAGTATTTGTAAAACAGAAATTAGTTTTACAAAATGACATGTAAATAATGTACCTAACGTAAGTGTTGTAACGATCGTTGATACGAAAAAGCATTTTGCATATAAAACCCAAATATGGCCGCTAGGGTGCAGCATGCAACGGAGAACGAAAGGACAAAAATGAACGAAAGAAGCGCTGCAAGCGAAACCGGTGTACATTATCTTTACACAAGCATTTTAACACACACAAAAATTCTTTTTCAAAATTCATTACAGGGAAAATTATTTGAATATTACACAATCTGTGATTTACAAAGAATAAAAGCTTACCTGCTTACTGTTATATGTAGAAAGCATCGTCAGATTCAAACTGCAACTGCCATACCCCCAACCTCCAACCGTCAGCGAGTAGGTTCGAGGTTCCAATTTTCAAGAGAACATAACTTGTCGTTTTATAATAATTGTGCACTTACGAACTGAACACTATCACCACACACATATTTCCTTTGAAAATAAAAACAATAATTTCTCAAACACTCTACCGACCACATATTCAAGAACAAAATTGTCAGTCGCGAAACAACCGCATGGCATGGCGACCGCGGTTACAACTCAACATGTACGGTGTTTTAAATGAAACGTCACATCCTCGATCTTCAACGCTATTGGTCAGTTTCAAAAGAATCAACCAATCAGCTTTCAATTTTTTTAACTACGCGGGAAAGTAAAGTAAACTTCATCAGGAATATATTAGAATGATTTTGAATAATTTTTTTGTTGATAGATGTAGGAAAAATATGCTACTAAAATGTAATGTATCACTATAATTAATTCGTTGGAATTATAAATATAGAATACGTGTATATAAATTTATGCTGAATTATAACGCCGCCATTGTTTTTCTACTTACTGATACATGTATTGTGATTTTGAGCAAAATTTTATTTGATCGCAAGAATAATCCACCACATTAATTATCGACTAACTTTATTCAACGATTTTGACAATCAAATATTAGTCCTTATTTTTCTCGAAGAAATGAAATGTAAAATTAATTAAAATTTCAAACAAATATAATTTTGTATATAATATTATTTATATTATATTATATAAATAAATTGAAGTAATCAAATTAAATAATATTCGTGTAAAACGAAACATTACAAATAAAATGGTAGAGAAATATACTGCAACTCACGAGAGACTAAGTTTAACACTAAGGTGGCAGCACCTAAAACATGCGTGCTTCGACTGGGCATGTAAACTATACAATTTAAAAGTTTTGATGTACAGTTTTTTATAATTTATAAAAAATTGACAAATGAAACGAAAATTGAAACGCTATTTCCATTATTCGGATCACCAAATGAGTTAGAACTAACAGATGACTGCTAAACGTGCAGCCAAACGATGAATTATTTAAATAATTCAACAAGCAGTGGAGTGACTGGTGATTCTGGCCTTCAATTGAACAATGTTGAAGTGTTATATTCAAAAGTGCAAAGAGTTTACCTTAAACCACAGCATAAAGAAGAACGTCAACGCGAGCTTAGGGTTAATGTGGAAATACATGCAGGTCTCAGCCCAGTGTGTCGCAAGGTAAAATCAGTATACTGTTTAGTATTAACCTAATATAATCTTCTAGTTTATTTTTTAATATTTGTATTAATACAAAACTTGAAATTAATGTCTAACAATTTTTTCAAAATGTTTTTGCTATATCATAATACTTTATACCTTTATGTTACAGAGTTTATGTGTCTTATTAGCAGATGACGATGATCCCTGTTTTCTTTACTCATTGTTTATCTCAGAAGATGATTTTAAAGTTTTAAAATCTCAACAGGGATTATTGGTAGATTTTGATAACTTTGCAACTCAATTAATACATCTATTAGAACAATGTCAAATATTACCATCAAACTTATCAAAAACACCACCAAAGTTTTTGTTATTATTAGCTGAAGAAAGCGGAGAATGGATATTTAAACTAGTTGAAACAAATAATTTTAAGCACTTGTGTCATTTAAGTTTAAATATATCACCAGCATGTGATTCTGATTTAAAAACTCATATGGCCATGAAAATTAAACATCTGAAAGAAAATATTCAACAACAGAATAGAGTGGCAGTTACATTGGAAACAAGATTAAATGAATTATCAAATCAAGTAGAAACAAAAACAAGAGAATTAGAACAGTTAGAACAAAAGTATAGAACAGAAAAGAACCAAATACAAATATCTTCTTCTGAACAAATAAGTTTAGAGAAAGACAGGTATGTAAAATCATACAATGTACTTTTTCTGTTTTAAATGTTTAACGAATGTTATTAACATTTTGCAGATTCTCTAAGGCTCAATTAGAGTGGCAATGTCAAAGTGAAAAAGAAAAATTAGAAATAGAACGTAGACATACAGAAATGGTAAAACAGCTTCATACTGAACTTGCAGAATTACGTACGCAAAATTTAACATACAAAGATAAGCTATCTCTTCTTGAAGCAACAAATATAGAACAAATTAGACAATTACAAAATCTTGAGAAAGAACTTAATGTTGCTCAAAGAGATTTAAATTTATTGAAGAAACAAAATTCTAAATTGGATACAGATTATCATGAAAAAGATAAAACGGTAAATAGTTTAAAGACTAAAGTTGCTGTACTGGAGCAAGAACTAAAAGATAAAGGTATACTTATTAGTAAACATACGGAAATGTTAAAAACAGCAAAAGAACAAAAACAACATCTTGAAGATCTTTTGGCTGAAAAAGATGGTCAGTTGCAACGTAAACAAAATTCTTTGAGAAATTTAAGTGATGAGCTGGTTAAGGCTAATGAAATATTAACGAAGCTACAAAACGAACTTGCTTCAACTAAATCAAAATTAAAATTAAGAACTAGTATAGCTCTTGAACAAGAAAGGTTGTTAGACACTAAACAAAAAGAAGTTGGTCAATTAGAAAGTAAAATGGAAAGTTTAATAAAAGAAACGAAAGATGTAAAAACTGAAGCCGAGAATTTGAAAGAACAGCTTAAAATGCAACAAAATCAATTGGAAGAGAAAGAAAAGATAATAAAAAATAATGACAATGGTAAAGAAATAAGTTTCTTATATTATGAATATTTTCATTGATCAGCAAATCATTACACTATATAACCATTTATTTATTTAAAAATTTTGTTTCTATAAATTTTTCAGATTTTTGCTTTTTATGATTAAAATGTGTTATTATACTTTTCCAGTAATTAGTTGGTTGAATCGACGATTAGCAGACAATCAATCTCCGTTACAAAGTGTAAATGCGGCAGCAGTGACCGTACCTTCTTCAATTCAGTTAACATTACCTAGAACGAATAAGTTAATCTCTACTAAGTATGAAACACGTACACCAGTGCCTAGTACAGTGCAACCAAATACATTTTCTGGACTCAGGAATCCAGTTGTACAAAATCCAAACATTAATCAAACTACACGAATGGCAGCAAGATCAATGGGTGTTGGTATTACGGATAGCACGGTAGGTGTATCAACATTTAATAAAACCGGTCAAATCTCGAGTACCAGTACACCTTTGGAACGTATTAATTCATTAAATAAGTTACCTGGAAATGTTGGAGGGTCATCCTCGATGCCTGCTATCGTAGAAAACAATAATCAAGCTGTACCATCAAATGGTACAAAAACTAAAAGTACAAGTGCTACGCTACAGGGTGGATTAAGAAGGGGAGGTTTGTCTGACAAACCAATTTTGCCATCTGCATATTTTCCCAAAACTTTACATTGATCAAATATGTGAGTATAATTGCCAGTATATAGTATACAAATATCAAAGTTGTTATAAACGGACATTAGATAAGTGAATAATATTTGAAGTTTCATGCTGAAATACAGTACAAAATATACACAGAGGATAGTAATATTAGAAAGAATTCTAGATATTATAACTTAGACATTTTTTTGTTTAAGTTTATATACATACTTTCCTATATTTGAATTTTGAGTATTACAAATACGTTTAAAAGCATTATCATATCTCATGAAAGTATATTAATTATAATTATATAATTTTATTGTACATTGTTTTAAAAGCAATGAATTTTTTAGAAGTTTAGTACATTAATTAGATGCTTATTCTTAATATGAGTTAAATGAAAACTATATATAACTTCGTACTTGAGTCAATTACATTAATATTCATAAAAAAGATCGTATAATTCAAAAACGATAAACATGTGTAACAAAACATTTAATATTTTCTTCCAAAATTAAAGAATTACTTTAATTCGTGAATATAAAATTGTAAAGCATGTTCATTTATAAATAAGTACCTGGTAACATTTCAATTATAGAGATTAAAGACTAAATAATTATTATATTTATTATAAATCTTTTGAAATTTTTAAGCGAATAAATAGTTAGGGTAAAGGAAATTAAAGTGCCTTATTAATACAGGTTAGACTAGAAAAGTTCATTCCATTTTAAATCTAAAATATGATAAAATACTTGGCTAATACAATATACTTTATATGTCTAGCATTTTTATTTAATATTATTTAGTAACGAACATAACATGAATGAACAACTTTAAAGAACTATATAATTTTAAATCATATAGAATAAAATATATTAGTTACAGAGATAAAACAATTTAATTGTTTAAAGATCTCTTAATGTGTTTTATTTGATATTTTACAAGCATGAATTAATTATATAAATTTTTACTACATATTTTTTATTTTTAGAAATATTATGAATTATTTCTAGTCTACAAGGTACTTGATATTTCGTATTTTTTCAATAATATACAATGATACAAATTTCATTGAATGCAGAAGACTACTTTTGTGTATTTTGATTACATTAGTAGGAAGTGTAATAGAAATGTATGCTGCTCAAAGTTCATTAACAGTAATGTTAAAATTTTCTAACTGTGGACCAGTATATACAAATCTGAATTACTATTTACATTTCAAAATGTTAGAGAGAATAGTTTTAAAATATATACAAACTGGGTGTCTCTGAACCATAAAGTATAGCGAGTTACATTACGCGAAAAAATATGACAGCAGTATTAAATAGAATACATATAAAATAGTTTGACAAATATATTTTACTACTTTTTGTACATAAAATTTTAATAAAATGTATATTACACGATCATACATATTTCTTATACACATTTTAAATCTTATCCCTACAAAAATTAGTAGTAAGTACAAAATGTAAAGTTATTAAATATATATCATTAAACCAGACAACCATATACAATGGAAATAACGAGTATTTACATATTAATATCATTGGATAATATTTATATGATATAGATATAATGTATCCGTGAATTTTACAAAAATAAATTTTAATAAAAATATCAAAAAAAAACACAACAGAATACCTAAATAATTTAAGAACAAGAACATATATTTATTGATTTGTATTATTTGAAGCTGTAGGTGCACTGTCCACTGATAATTCGGTACGTCCCACATCTAAGAGTGGAAGGTCCATTCGCTTGCGTCTACGTTCACATTTTGGACAGGGTTTATTAGCATTTAAACATTCTGCATGAAACACTGCATTACATGCTCCACACTAAAATTATTTTACATTTCAAACATTGTTAAGCTAATAATTATGTGTAATTTTTGTATTATATGTAAGAAAAAGGAATATTAACTTACTCTATACGTAGATTCCATATCAAAAGGATAAATGACTTTTGGATTATTGCAAATTTCACATATAAAACCCTTCTGACTACAGAGCCAACAGTTTATAACATGATTTCTTGCAAACTCTACTACCTTCTGTAACTGTTGTGCAAGAGTTCCATTAGGTATATCGAGCAGGTCAGAAACAGAGTACTGATGAACATGTTCGTACAAATAGTCTCTTGGAGCAACTTTTCTTTGTAACGATTCAATTATAGGTTCACGACAAGTGAATAAATAAGCTCTCAGTAAATTTAATTGAATCCTTAATGATTGCAATTGAGCCATAGTATCTACCGCCATATAAATTCGTGGATTTATGCTTTTAAGATCTAGCAATGTCGGACAATCATGTAAATATGTAGCAGCATTATTGCATACAGGATAACGTTTTAAATCCCAGTTATGGATTACTCGGGATGGAATAATATATTCAATTTGTGACATACAGTTTGAACAGTAATAACTGCCAGAGTATGAACAAACATGTGCTTTTGAAAAAGTCATACCAATTGCATGACCGCATTCCAAGCAGCTATAATTCTGTACATCCAAACCTTTTTCTCTGGGAAGTCTTTTCAGTTGGTCATCAAAGTTTATTACAACCTACAATTAAGTACAAAAGGTATAACAGGGTAAAATAATCAAAAGTGCCCTTGAGCGGATTTTAGGAAAATCGCTATTTCTATTTTACCCCGTAACTACCCTCCCGATTGAGATACAGAGTTGAAATGTATTACCAAATAAAATCGGCTCAAAGGAACTTTTGACCATTTTATCCTGCTATACCATTTATTGTTATTTATATAATAAATTACACTTATGATTACTTTTAGTTATACCTTTTCTAATTGAACTTTGGTACCATCTTCAGTTGGCTGCCTTTTAGGATATTTCTTCAAAAATTCCTGAAGATCTGGCACTGATGTATTTCCAGTTGTATGATAACTTTGAATAATTGCATCGTATGTAGGTCCTTCGGCTGGCGTTCGAGGCGCATCTGTTTTAGATTCATGAGATACTATAGATGAAGTTAAAGAAGAGTCGCAATCTTCGTACGACGTAGACCATCCCAATCTTCCAATTAATGAATTACCTACTGCAGTTGCAGCAACATCATGTGAACTTTCATGATTTTGTGCGATCGATGAGTCCTCAATGTTAGTAACTTTATTAATTTCTACATTAATTTTTGGGCTACTATTATTTGAAATTTCATTTTCCACTTCTTGTTCTTCTTCTTGTGTATTTTCCTCTTCTTCCTCTTTTAACGGCGGAGTATTTCTTGAATTATTAGCAAAATGTTCTATACCAATATTGTTTGATTTCTTATTAGTTAATATAATTTTTAAAGCTTCATCTTCTATTATGTTAGCCACATTATTAAGAGCAGATTGCGATGAATTGAATGAACCTAAACTACCTATTGAACTAGCTGTTTCAACTTCATTAAAATTCTCACCATCTGGCAATTCAGTTGTTATTGTTTTTGCAATATCTACTGCACTAAATACTGGACAAGATTTCATTGGTGGTGACCATATGCCTGCTAACAAAAGAGGGGTATTTGACCAGAAATTTAAAAGGCTACTATTACATGCAACTTCAAAATGAACGTAATCTAGATTTTCAATTAGTCTCTGCGCAACTTCCACAAAATCTGTGTCTCTAATAAATGCAGAGCGATTATAATATGGTTTCAAGGCTGAATTATCTTTTCTTATAGAATAAAAGTAGCTAGCTAGAAGACCCTCATTTAATGCCAATCTTATCCAAGCTCTGCAATATCCAACTTCTGTGGTAAGTTGACTAAACGACTGAATTTGGTCTATGATCTGCCGATGAGAAAATACTAACAGCGGACCCCAAAAACTTGGTTGTGGTACAGCATCAAAATCTGGACCACTCAGGACTTCTGTTACTCTATTTAAAAGGCTATCTTTCAAGCCATGTAAAAACACAGCTTCCAAAACAGAGCACAAAGTCATAGTCTCCTCGCAATTGCTAACTATACCATCGTCTTCCACTCCTGGTGCACTCTGCATTTCCATCACAACAGTGTTCAACTGCTTTTGCAACGATTCTTTGACTAATATGTCTCTTTTGTTTGTCAGAGAATTGACTGTTTTCAAAAACGAATTCATCTTTTTCAATTTGATGTTCCACAAGAACTGTAGCTGCGTTGCTGTAGCTTCTTCTTTCAAGCATTTTCGCACTCGTAGTTAAGAAAAGAGTTACCTAAATCTTATAAGGTAACTCGATGCGTTCATTAACCGCGGTAACACAACGTAGCAGATATTGATACGTTTATACGATTCAACCATTACGCTGATACTGGCAAAGAAACAAGGAAGTACCGCTGAAAGGAATGTGAATCACAGATAAGAAAGGCACGCGAACTTCGAACCAGTAATGATGCATGTCAACGTTATCTTTCTTGTTAAATATATGAGAAGTAGGTTACATCACACAAAAACAAAACATTACAATCAATGTAATATATATATATATATATAGTCGAATTTTGAAACTTTAAATTCTTGTCACAAGTAAGTTTCAACAAAAACTCCTTTTCTACTTCTTATGTGGTATTTGACAAAATGTTTTCTCGATATGAATCGAACATGATTCAACAGCAATTTCTGTCATTTGATTCTTTCTTTAACATTAGTACAGATCGAAACGATAGATTGCGCTACGATATACATATATTACATATATCGACAGGTGATGTTTAGAAATATTTGATTTTTTTGTAAATCAATTAAAAATTTATGAGACAAGATGAAACAGAAGTACAAATGAAGAATGTGAAAAGCACACTCGTAAGATTAGAGAAACGTATTGGAAATACATTGCAATAATTATTTTATGAAAAACTTTTTATTAAATTTTCTGATTTTTGAATCCTTATTCGCCATTCGAGGGTTAAATGCTTATATTGTGGTAGTCAGCCTGTGAAACACATGACAATTGTTACTTTAGATTTTATAAGCAAGTCTTTCCTTGCTTTACCGTTTCTATATTTAGATATGCACTTAGCGCATCTCAAATGTTGGAACAGGTATATCGTGTGTGAATGACCGAATACGCATGATGGGACGGTGCGTGTTCTTCGTTTGACGGCGGTGAAGTTATGGTATGAGAGAGAAGAGAGAAAGAGACGCCACAACAGAAGTGAACAAGTAGAAAGAAGCAGGTAGATTGAACACGAGACAACGAAGCAAATAGTAGAATCAGGGCCGTACCATGGTCAATACATATTGTCAATGTCATCAATATTTATTAACAAACCGAATTTGTCTCCTACGTTTAATATTTATTGACAATTCATTTAATTTTAATTTAAAATATTTTGATTTTCATCAAACTATCGCCAATATTTTTAAGGAATTTTCTTACTTACCCAATTAAAAATACTTGTTTTAAGTACTTGGAATTATAGATTGTAAAAGTAAGCCAAATTGGAAAAATAGTGTAAAATTTAAAAAATAATATGAGATACAAAGTTACATTAAGATAAAGTGCTAATAATGCATTGTTTAATATTTCGTACGTATATTGTATTGAGAAAGCGTCGGGAAATATTTGAAGAAATTTAGAAGTATCTGATAATTCAGGCATTCATGAGAATCCCTATGTATTTCTAATTAAAACAACTTCCTTTCTACGAATAAAAGAACAGTGGACTGACTCTCGTATTTCCTTTTTACATGACATTAGAAACAATGAACTTTCTCACGATTTATCACCGCATACGAGAATTTCTGTTGTTTTGTACTTATTAAAATACACAACTCAGCAAGTAAATCATATAAATCATATTTAAAAAATCGTATTCTGTCTTATATGGTTAGGTTTTACGTATAATTACATATTTATAAATATTTTATTCTATTTTAAATATTTTAAAGTTATTCGCGAGAATGTTAGAATTTTCGAAGTTAATTTGAGGTTAGTCTTTACACTAAGAATAAATCATGCCATTATTCTTGTCACGGCTTACACTTTTGAACCCGCAAAGTTTTTTTCGGTATTTCTTTCTAAGAAATATTAATTTCATTCACTCAAGATGTCCGTTAAGGTTAGGTATATTTACCCCTATTCAAGTGTTTGCAAATAAATGTTAAAAATACATAATTACGCTCATGAAAATTTAAAAGCTGTATTCGATAATGCAGTGCGCAGAAAAAAATGTCGAAACATTAGCATTTAATGTAAGAAAAATGTCAAGGCGAATAGATTTTATTGACGGCACTGAGGGTTCAGGTGGCGACAGTGGTGGAGGGGACTAGAGGCCGAGGGTGTCGACGTCGAGTTGATGCGCGCGGAATAGTGACGGTTCGACTGGTGAACGAGATGGTTGGGGTCAGAGTATCGTTGGTTAGTGAAAGATAAGAAAACGCGTGCATTGTCTTAATCGCACTGTCGCACATTTTTCTATATAAATTCTTCTTTGGAATTTGAACGATCGTTCGATCTGTAGTAACCCGTGTTTAATGGTGCGACGCCGTTATCGAACAATCCCACAGTGCACATGTATCATGGATGTCAAGGAGATAGGCGTCGTCTGTTAAATGCCAAATTCGAATATGACATCTCGCGTAACGGCACGATGCAAAATCATAGCGGATAAATGTGATGCGAGAAAACAAAGAGAAAAGTGTGTTGAATAATTGATTTTTTCAAGAAAAAGTACAAATAATTGTATTGTAACATCGCCGTTAGAGATGTTACCTTCGAACACGCTCGAGGTGGAAATTGGAAGTTTGTCGCCTCCGAGAGAATACGAAACGACCAATAATAGTTTCTTCCTAGAGACGATGCCTAGTGACTTGCATACCGAAACGGTAGCCTGCCGTTTGTTAGACACAGGAGTCGTTGCTCGGTGTCACGAGGAAAGCAACGACACGAGCAAAGCCATCCCTGAGACCGAGTGCCTGAAAAATATGGTCGAATCAGCCGTCGGTAACAGCAGGTCCGTCAACGATCGACCGCGTCAGAGTTTTTCCAAGAGTTCCGCGTCTCTGCAAAGTTTAATTCGTAGAAAAAGTCGAAAACACGGTGCATCCTCGTTGCCATTGGACGTTGAAGTGTCTTCGTACTCGTCGCATCCTAGCTGCCATATCGACACAGTCAAGACGAATGATGCTGTACCTTACAGAAACGAGGAGGAAACTTACACGGCCACGCGTACATCCACGCTTATTTACACGTCCAGAGGAGACAACGTCCAGGATGTCTCCTCGTCGACGACCAATGTCGCGACACTCACCACGACCAGCAATACGAGTAACGTTACTTCCTCGGCGAGCGGAAGTCGCGTCGGTAATACAGCCTCTTCTTTGATAAGAACGACCAGCGCGATCACGGCCGAGCCGTCCGCGACTTCGTGGAACAATTCCGCGGAAGAAGAATTAGATTACGTCGTCGATCCGGTTCAAGGGAACGCTTATTACAAAGGACAGTTGCTTGGGAAGGTGAGCAAAAAGTAACACTTGTCTTATTTTTTACTATCTCATTAATTTTATTAGTGCTGGGTTAAATATTATTTGAAATAGTAAATATATACTGTCTACCAATCACAAGAAGTCTCATGAGAATAACGTAATTCGATTGGTTGCACCCTGCCTCAGCGACGTATGATTGGTCGACGCGGTCACATCTCCAATCAGGCGCCTGTAAAACTAAAGGGTCAGTCCATGTGTGCGTAATATCTTCTCTTACCCCTGTCCCTTCCCACGAGACTTCTTGTGATCGATGGACAGTTACTGGCAGAATGATTTCGCGACATCTGGTAAGCGACATTCAAGGGAGATTCCATAAATGTCTGAAGATCATCGATGCATATCCGTAGGTATCGATTCACTAACTCACGGCTGGTAGGAAATATTCTTTAGCTGGGGTTTAGCTGGTGACGTATTATTGGTCAAAACGGTCACTAGTTTGGAGGGCTTGCTTTGCGCGGGTTCTCGTTGCCGGGAAAGAGGAAGAGAGACAGATTATTTCTCAAAGGATGTACTCTCGAAGTGTACATCCTCTTGCTCGAGAAAACCGGTCGCTGTTTCGTCATCTCGATTATCCGCACTAGCTCGAAGTTAGAAATCGAGCCTTCAGTTAAATTAATATCTTAAAAATTAGGATTTTGTTAGGACCTCCTTCCTCTATATCGTCATATTCCCTAGGGAAAACTAGCATGCTCGGTGATGTACATTATACACCCTTGATGTTACACATACACGTCAGTGACACCTTGTAGCTTTCACCGATTGCCACTTGGCTTGCACACGTGTGTTCGGTGCAACAACCGCGAGGATAAATTCAACGGATGGGCTTCTTCCTCTCTTTTCTTTCTTCCTTCTTATCCGTTCCTTTTTCTCGTTCACTTCCCTTTTTTCACCATAGACAATTCACATGCGCGGTTCTCATCATTTCTATGCAGGATGCAGTTCCTTAAGTCTATTAAATTAATTTCATAGACGGTGCTTCCCTGGGAATCCGTGTTCTACCTTAAATTATATAAAGAGTACAAATGTATATAATCTAATTAAATTCCCAATAATTTGCTGCTTTGAATTGTTATATACCGGACACATTAACATTCTTTCTCATCCGACCCTTATGTTACATGATATAAGATGTCGATATATGACTTTGCAACAAATTTTAAAACAATTTTTCGTTTTATAATGAAACTCCTAATGGTTCGAACGAAAAGTGGGACTTATACGCCAGATAAACGTTTCCCATTGTACATATTGTTTTATGTGAATTGCTTCGTTGTTATTTATGCATATTTTTCCTATTACTTTCAGGGTGGATTCGCCAAGGTTTTCTTAATGACTGACGTTAGCAATGGAAATGAATATGCGTGCAAGATCATTCGAAAAAATCGGATGCAGAAGATTCACATGCAAAAGGTAGGATATTTTTGTTACTAATTTTTTAGATTTGTATAAATTTCTTTTTCATTTTTATTTTACGATATTTTTATTACAGTCAGGATTGGATTAAGATTTCTGGGGCCCCGGAACTATTAAACTTTCGAAATCCCCCTTAGTTGTTAAACTTGGTTAAAAAATTTATTCTAAATTAAATTATATAATATTTAATCGCAAATAGAAAAAATAATAATACAAAAATCGAAACTCCTGTAAAATGGGGTCCGGAGTTGTAGCCTTTTCCCTTTTCTTTAAATTTCATTTTTCGATTGATAACCTTTTTTCAATAATTCCTTCACTTTTAAACTGTTATTTACAATTATTGTAAATAACATTAATTTCTCATTTAATTCATTCTAACGAACGTTTATAAACGGATTAAATCCTGCACAGGCTATCGTTATGATAATTTATTTAAGTTTTACAGGTGGGAACAAATGATCCCGACAATAATGATCTATTCCTTATAGATCGCTCGTGAGATAATGATTCACAAAGAGCTGAACCACGCGAACGTAGTTCAACTCCATCACTACTTTGAGGATAACCTTAACGTGTATATGCTTCTGGAAGCCTGTCCTCGAAAGGTATCGTATACGTACACTCGCGATCAAATCAGGCTTTTCTAGGAAAAATTCTGATGTCCTACATTTTCTTCATTCCCCATAGGTACATCCAGAAAAATGACAGCGTAGGGAATGGTGGTTCGACTCTTTGACCTGTGCGTAAACGTTTACGCGGGAAAATTTAAATTGCTATTTAGTTGTATACTAACAATTAAGAATTATATTATTTCTACTAATTAGAAATAATATTAAATTATCGTCGAAATTACGATTTTAAAAATTTTTACTTTCCCTCTGTCTTTCTATTTTCTCTAGGGAAGTCTGATTTGATCGCGACTGTACTTACCTACCTGTTTCCAACGATACGTTCTCTCTATAGATTCGCAAGAATTTCCCAACCTTTTCCTTTCGAGCCGAGCTAACATCTAATCCTAGTTGTACGCGTGTGTGTGTTCGAAGAATGAAAAGAAGTTCGCTTACCTGTTGAAGTAACTTCGTCAGATACATCAGCGAAAGCTGAAAGGTACCAGCTTACGTCTAACCGTGCAAGAGTTTACGGCTCGTTTAAAGAAATAGAATTGCACGTTGCTGCATCATCGAATCTTTACTGTATTAATTTTTCAATATTTAATTATCAGCCAGTTTGTATATTTATTTATTTTAATAAAATTTCATACACGATTTTGATCCGATAACAGGTTAATGAAATATCTGACAGTACGGTTTAATCCTTTATTAAATTATTTATACTGGTCCATTCTATTTTCTCACAGAAATCATGTCACCTTTGTTTGATAGAGTTTGATGCACGTGTTGAAGTACCGTGGCAAAGTCACGGAACCGGAAGCACGGTATTACATGAGACAAATGGTGACCGGCGTTGCGTACATCCACTCCCAGAAAGTTGTTCATCGGGATTTGAAGCCAGGTAACATGTTCCTATCGGATCGTATGATCGTGAAAATTGGAGACTTCGGGCTGGCAACGAGGCTCGATGGACAATGTAGACGTGTGTAAGTGTTCGTGTACTTATTATATAGGTACGTCGTAGTAACGCTCCTAGTGCTTTTTTAGCACGGATGCGCCAGAAATCCCACACCCCCCCCCATTGCTGAACATTATGTATATTTGTGCACGCTATAGAATAGCAAACGACTAAAATGTTGGTACATGTATAAAATAGAAATAATCAATTTGTATGGACAGGACAATATGCGGGACACCGAATTACATTGCGCCGGAAGTGTTGTATAAACAAGCGTACAGTTACGAAGCGGATGTTTGGGCGCTTGGTTGCATACTTTACGCCCTGCTGGTAGGGCAACCACCTTTTGACACTGCGACATTGAAGGAAATTTACGCAAGGATATGTAATAATAATTATCGAGAGGTTGACGACACGATAGCAAGTCGAAGTGGGCAGGATCTCATTAAATGGCTACTTCAACCGAATCCTGAGCTTAGACCATCCTTGGAAAGGGTTAAGGAACATGCTTATCTCACCAAGGAATACGTACCGACTTCCTTACCCCGTATCTCTTGCTTCCAAATGCCACCCACGTCTATTATTGACCCCATGTCGTCGCCCTCTGCTAACTCGACGACTTCTAGGAATCAAAAACTAAATAAAATTCAGGTGAAATAACAATGGCGTAGCATTTTATTTTATTGTTATTACAAAGTATATCTAAGATTTTTAATTATCAATTCATATTATATAATAATATTGTTTTTTTCAATTTATTTATAGGTTCATACAACGCAACAAATCCCGCAACAACCATCGCAACCGCAGTCACAACCACTGCAACAGCAGCACCAAATCAACCGATCTCAGAAAATTTTACGAAAAGAATCAAAAGTTATCAGCTGGTTAGCCAGAAAACTTCCAAAAGTCCCGAAATTCCGGCAAAGATTAAGCAGCGTTCTTTGTCCTGATCACAAGAAAATGGGATACATGGCACAAAGTATGCAAATGCATCAAGCATTAGAAACTTGCATTACAGAGATCAAGTGTAAGAATAAATTAACTAATCATCCACCAGTTAAAGACATCGTACCTCTGTTCATTACCAAGTGGATTGATTATTCGAACAAATACGGCCTAGGTTTTCAACTTTCTGATAAATCTGTTGGCGTTCTCTTCAATGATAACACGAAAATTAGTTACACACATGATAGAAGGTCGGTACTATTTGCTTTATCTATTTTCTTTTTCATTTAACTCTTTGCAGTGAATATGTTATAAAACCAACTATATTTATTCAAACAAAATGGTGCTTTTCAATCCTTTTGTAATTAAATTACTGTCCTCCGATCACAAAAAGTGCTATGAGTATAACGCAATATGATTGGTCGCGCCACGCCTCAGCTCACACATGGCGTCGGCCGAGACGTATGATTGGTCGAAGCTTTTGTAACACGAGGGGGTTAGTCGATGTGTGCGTAGTATCCCTCTTGCCTCTCTGCCGTCCAGTGAGACTTCTTGTGAGTGGTGGACAGTAGTTCTTTTTAAAAATTTAGAATTTCTATATTGCAATTTTTCTTTAATCGTTTAAACAAATATTAATCGAGTGCAATACAAAATACATCCATGCTATTACACATAAGAAAAAAGGATTAAGGAATGTTTTAATGTCAAATAAATAAATAAGAATCACACTGCAAGGAGTGGAAACATTTTTATTTCTATTTATACATTTAGATCGTTTTAAAATATTTCCTTTTGCAAAGAAGGGTGGAGTATGTGACAACTGATGACGAAGTAACAAGATATCATAGAGAAGAAGACATCCCAGTTGCTTTGCAAGAGAAACTTGAATTGCTACAGCATTTTACTCAGTATATGGATAAATTCATGACTGAAGGTAAATTATATTTCGTATGATTTACCATTAATTTTTGAGCCAAATGTATGTAATTTTCAATACTTAAAAAAATATATTTTTGTATATTTGTCACCATTAAAATATGAAAGTTAGCCACAATTATATTTTTACTTTAACCAGGTTTTATTAATCCATCATTTTAAGAATTTGGCATAAATTTTCAATTTTTAAGGTGGAGAGATTAAGAAACACCGAGCTGTGACAAAACAGTCGAAGAATGCTTGCGTGCCGCGAATGAGGAGATGGTTAAGAACTGATAAAACCATCGTAATGGAACTAACAGTACCTCTTTTGCAAGTGAATTTCTTCGAGGATCACACGAAATTGGTTGTCTCTCAGGAATCTCCCCGTAGAGGATATATAATAACGTATATAGACACTAGTAGACGCACATCTTCCTACTGGTTAAACGACATACGGGATTTTGGTTGTACCGCGGATCTCTATGACCGTTTGTATTACGTTTACAAAGTATCCAAAGAATTTGCCGACATGCATAGCAATACAATCGCTTGACCGTCAAAGATACGTCGAAAAATGCGTTGTACATTGAAAGCTTGAAATTTTCTTTCTAAAAATGTAATGTCTGTTGCGTTAGCTGCCCTCGTGCAATTTTAAAGAAATTTATTTCTTATTTTTATTGGGGAACGTAAAAGGAATACATTCAAACTGTTATTTTCTTTGAATAAATTTTCAAAGGTTAATTTAAAAGCATTTTGTCTCGGGATCATCTGGCAAAAGAACCATCAGTTTCGCAGACACTTGGCGGTCCCTGGCCCGAACTTGAAGCATCCAGGGAGACGAACGTACCTCTCCTACGCCTACAATATCAATTAGATAGTATATTTCCGATAATGTCTAGCAAAATTGATAAGCCACCGAGAGTATATTTTATTTGTTTTTGTATAAGTGATATACCGTGTACAAGAATTGTAATATTTGTGAGAATTTAGATATGGGTTGTCCAATTTTACGATCTCTGAATTGTTATGGTAAGCATAACGATAATGAAAGTTAAATAATGAAGAATTACACCAAACCGTGTGACAGAATAGTTATTTTAATATTTAATTATAATAGCATAACACTATTTGTGATAAGCAGAAGCGAAAGAAAAAATTTGTTAAAATAAATCACGTGTAATGCGTTTTAGAAAAAAAAAATCATTTTTACAATGCCAAACGTTCATAATTCAAGTGCCTACTGAGTGCATGTGCGTGTGTGCAATATAAATTTAGACTGTCAATCCATTTATTGTAGAAAAGCTTGATTAGTTGAAGAAACACCGGAAATGAAATAGAGCCTAAGTTGGATGACCCTGTGATGACGTAAAGTATTTCAAACTGTATCTGTCGCTCTATGCTATTAATAATGAAATCGTAACATTAAGTGAACAAGTCGAATTGACTTCGTCGAACGACCTGGCGCACATTAATTTTTGTTTTACGAAGTTTCCATAGTGGGAAATTGTTTATTGCTCTAAATACAGTGAGCTGCATAAGTAATTGAACATGTATGGTACTTTTTCAATGCAGACGTTATGAAGTGTATCTCTGTATCTCTTACAACCCTGCATCCCTTACATCCCTGCACCCCTTACATCCCAGCATTCCTTACATCCCAGCATTCCTTACATCCCCCATCCTTTACATCTCAGCATCCCTTACATCCCTGCAGTCCTTACGTCCCTGCATCCCTTACATCGCTGTATTCCTTACATCCCTCCATCCCTTACATCTCTGCTTTCCTTACATCCCTGCATCCCTTACATACCTGCATTCCTTACATCCCTCCATCCCTTACATCTCTGCTTCCCTTACATTCCTTACATCCCTGCACCCCTTACATCCCTGCATCCCTGCATCCCTTACATCCCTGCATCCCTTACATCCCTGCACCCCTTACATCCCTGCATCCCTTACATCCCTGCACCCCTTACATCCCTGCATCCCTTACATCCCTGCACCCCTTATATCCCTGTTTCCCTTACATCCCTGCAACCCTTATAATAAATATATTATAACAACTGGTTCAGGTAAAGGTAAGTAAAGGTAAGTAATTTTTGAATTTTTTCAATTTTTGAAATTTCAAATTTTAGCCCTCTAGCGGCAAAAATGTGAACTAAAATCTCGACCTCGAATCAGCGCCATCTGGTTTTAGAAAAAGGAACTAAACCAAGCAGAGATTTTGGCCCTCTAGCGGCAAAAATGTGAACTAAAATCTCGACCTCGAATCAGCGCCATCTGGTTTTAGAAAAAGGAACTAAATCAAGCAGAGATTTTGTCCCTCTAGCGGCAAAAATGTGAACTAAAATCTCGACCTCGAATCAGCGCCCTCTGGTGGCAAAAAAAGGAATTAAATTTTTCCAAAAATTTAAATTTAAAATTATTTTTCAGGAGACTTTACTTACCTTTACTTACCTTTACTTGAACCAGGGGCCATAAGTATATCATTTATCATATATTTATTATAAGGATTGAAAGGATACAAGAGATGCAGAGAGAATTCAGGAGTGTAAGGGATACAGGGATATAAAGGGTACAGAGATGTAAGGGATACAGGGATATAAAGGGTACAGAGATGTAAGGGATACAGGGATATAAAGGGTACAGAGATGTAAGGGATACAGGGATATAAAGGGTACAGAGATGTAAGGGATACAGGGATATAAAGGGTACAGAGATGTAAGGGATACAGGGATATAAAGGGTACAGAGATGTAAGGGATACAGTGATATAAAGGGTACAGAGATGTAAGGGATGCAGTGATAATGAGTTGGGCGTTGTGAGGCCGTTAAAAACGAAAAAATAATAAATAACTGGGAAGGTTGAGCCGAGGCCCATGAAGAGGGATAAAATAATAAATGACTTGGGAGGGTGGTCAATGCGAGGCCCGCAAATAGGGGTAAAATAATAAATAAAAGGATAAAATAATGGGCGAGGCACACAGATGTAATAGAATCAACACGTTCATGTTCCTAATAAGTTTATTCAATAAGCTAAGAAGATAAATACAGCAAATCCTTCCTTTTAATAACGTGAAAACATGTCTGTGAGTGACGCTGAGATGTTGCTCGAAAACAAGGTAGATAAATGTTATATGTGTACTCTTACAATGATAGTACAGTAAAACTTGTTAAAAAGGACATCTGAAAATATTAGGTCGGTGCGCAGGAATAGTTGCAGGGGTCCTTGAAACCCCACGATGAACGGTCGGTACGCAGAAAGTGTCTCAGGGGTCCCTGACACCCCAAGATGAACGGTCGGTACGCAGAATGAGTCGCCGGGGTCCCTGACACCCCATCATGATATTAGGTCGGTGCATAGAAAGAATCGCCGGGGTCCCTGACACCCCAAGATGAACGGTCGGTCCGCCGAAATGGTTGCTGGGGTCCTTGAAACCCCAAGATGATAGGTCGGTACGCAGAATGAGTCGACGGGGTCCCTGACACCCCAAGATGAACGGTCGGTGCGCAGAAATGGTTGCTGGGGTCCTTGAAACCCCAAGATGATAGGTCGGTGCGCAGAATGAGTCACCGGGGTCCCTGACACCCCAAGATGAACGGTCGGTACGCAGAATGTGTCGCAGGGGTCCCTGACACCCCAAGATGATATTAGGTCGATGCGCAAAATGAGTCGCCGGGGTCCCTGACACCCCAAGATAAACGGTCGGTCCGCCGAAATGGTTGCTGGGGTCCTTGAAACCCCAAGATGATAGGTCGGTACGCAGAATGAGTCGACGGGGTCCCTGACACCCCAAGATGAACGGTCGGTGCGCAGAAATGGTTGCTGGGGTCCTTGAAACCCCAAGATGATAGGTCGGTACGCAGAATGAGTCGCCGGGGTCCCTGACACCCCAAGATGAACGGTCGGTACGCAGAATGTGTCGCAGGGGTCCCTGACACCCCAAGATGATATTAGGTCGATGCGCAAAATGAGTCGCCGGGGTCCCTGACACCCCAAGATGAACGGTCGGCGCGCAGAAATTGTTGCTGGTGTCCTTGAAACCCCAAGATGATAGGTCGGTGCGTCAGCGGCGCTTTCTAAATATCATCCTGGGGTGTTAGGGACCCCATGAGTGATACTTTTTGTATACCGACATTATCGCATCTGGGGTGTCAAGGACCCCTAAGCTAAAATGTGCGACCCATAGACTTTATAGAAAAATTGAAACCATTGTAACTTGTACAAACGTGTTGTTTTTAATAAAGTATATGTAATTACCTTGTAAAAGTAAGTAGGATAATATAAAATGATTGATGTAATTTTATTTAATTTTTTATTTCTTTTTTTTCATGCGTACACACTCAAATATATCCTATGTAAGTATGTACATATAAATTTACCAAAAATACAGAATAGAATTACTGCTCTATTCGTTTTCTTTTCATTTTCTATACAACTATTCCTAATTATTACGAAATCTTATAATTTATGATTGATATTTAAAATTGAGTGACAATCCTGAGTACATTTCTTTATATATACATTAAAAATAGCAAAGTATTTATTTGATAAAAGTATGTAAAATTGCAAGTGAAGTATTGTGGAACATATTAAGGAGAAAAGAAGGTGAACTTGTAGAAAAGGATCTCCCGGAGCGGAAGCGATTTTTCTACAAGTTCAGCGAAAAGAATAATGATTTTATAGTATTTGAAATATGTTTTTTTTGTATAGAGAAACGAAATTGGCTGTATTTCCGAAAACTCTCATCCTCCGAATTAATTGAAATTTTAGAAGTAGGTTCTTTTAGCTCCATGGAAAATGAAGCTAATCAAATCACAGCATAAAAGTTTTCGGAAGTTTAGCCACGAACTTAATTAACAAGAAAGTGGTTACATACCGTAAAATATCAAAAATCTTATTATCATAAGATTAAAAATTAATTAATACAAATAAGAGAAATGATGTTAAAATTCTAATCGAAAGCTATGTGACTCCTCAAATTTCAAAATTCTTTAAAATTCGTACTGAGAAACGAAAATCAGAATTTTTGCTACAGCACTTCCAGCAAAGATGGTATTATGATAAACTTCCATATTGAGATCGAGTTCGATTTCCTGAGGTCCTTGTATGCTTCGTGTCATCACCAAAACAGCCTGGGTCGGTGCTGGCCGTTTCAAAGCGAAACACGATTCTGTGGCGCGTTGTACTCCAGGAGGTGCACGTGCTTCCAAAAACGTCATGCTAAATTGTATCGTCGACGTTGGTAAATGGTACCCCTTCATTTTGAATAACTCTTCCGGTTTATTTGATGAAATAGGTAACATGCTGACAAGAGTGATGAAATTGTACGAATAATGTGATGGTGACCTGAAGCAAGCTGCGTCGCTGATGTAGCAAGGATGAGATCGAACACATCGACTGAAATTTTAAAACATTATTATGTAACTGTTTGGGTCCAATTAGAATGTTGAATAAACTAATAAAAGCATTAAAAAATTTATTCAATTTAAAAACCCATAATTGTACAAAATATTTGATACTTACTTCTTTCTTTCGTGATCTTGATGATAACCCGAAGGGCAGTTTATTTTATTGCAACGATAACCACCTCTTGTATTATGACAAATCTCGTCCGCACCTCTGCACACATGCCCTGCTCTACATTCGTCGATATCTAAAAAAGAACGAAAGATTGATTGCATGTTCCAGTCGCAGAGAATTCAAGAGCACGGGAAGCAATTTGAAATTCAACTAATGGCCCAGATTTTTGACGAGTAGGTCAAGTACAGATTACACTATGTAATTTCAAGATAATAGAGGTAAAGTACGCGTTAATAAACGGTGAACGCATGCTTCATACAAAGCTACTACATAGTAGTTTCTAACAAAAGAATGTTACATGGTTAAATAAAATTAATTGTTTATTTAATCTTTTCTAAAATCTATGATTTTTAAAAATAAAGATTATGAATTAATATATTAATTATACACACCTTCGCAAGTCCGACCGCTGAGTCCAAGCTTATAACCATCCGGGCATTTACAAGCATAACTTCCTGGTGTATTTTCACAGATTCCCACGCATAAGTTATTGCTTTTAAATTCACTGCATTCGTCAATGTCTGTACAAGAACGATTATCAGGATTCAACCTGAATCCAGGTTTACAGATGCATCTGTAGCTACCCCAGACATTGAAACACGTATGCTGACACAAACCAGGAGTTTGTGAACACTCATCAACATCCTGAAATTATCAACAAAAAAATTACTGTTACTGTGTGAACTTTTGATCTCAAAAATGTAATTAATATTTGATATTACCTGACAGTTACCACCAAACCCACCAATGCTTTCAAAACCACTTTCACATTTGCAATGATAAGAACCAACAGTATTCTCGCATTGGCTTCTTGGTCCACATACGTTTCCATAGAGACTACATTCATCAATATCAACACAGTCCTTGTTTGGTCCAATTACATACCCAGGAGGACAGGTACAAACGTAACCGCCTAATCTATTCTCACAGGTTTGGTCTGTAGTGCATTCATTTGTGCCATCAGCGCATTCATCTATGTCAACACAATATTGTCCTGATACTGGGTCCAAAGTGTATCCATTGCTGCATAACACTCTTGACACACATCTGAAACGAAACCATTAAACCATTAAAAAATTATAAATTTTGTATTGAAAAGTTTTTCTATACCTGTAAGATCCAAGGGTGTTGATACACCTTTGCATTGTTCTACCGCAAGGATTAGGATTCTTCTGGCATTCATCAATATCCACGCATTTTCCTCCAGAAACAAGCTGAAATCCACGTGGGCAAGTACGTGGTCCTTGAGGATTGAACGTTACAGGAGTGACGGATGTGGTTGTACTTGTGGTAGTGGTTGTCAGTGCCGTAGTCGCGGCTCCAATTCGTGATTGCGGTACGGGTACACGCGGATTACGATCGCATCGATAAGAGCCAAGGGTGTTCCTACAATGATAACCACCCCCACAGTCGTGTGTACCAAGAAGGCATTCGTCGTCGTCTTCACAGATTTCTGTCGCAGCGTTTAAAGTGTATCCTGTTCCGCATGGCAGAAAACGCGTGCACGTGTAACTTCCTATGGTATTGTCACACCTCTGTGTTGGTAGACAACTGTCTTCCTATAAGAAATAGTAATTTATTTAACTTAGGTACTAGTTACGTTAATGTGCTTTTAACTCTATGTATATTGGATTCTATGAAACGTTTACCTGTGTTTGACATTCGTTAATGTCCACGCAAGCTTGAGTTAAATTTTCGCGCTTGAAACCAACTTTACAGTTACACGTGTAGCTTCCCATTGTATTAACGCACTCTTCGTTGCTGCTACACGCGTCTTCTACTTCACGACATTCGTCGACATCGACGCAACCACGATTCCTGACGAATTTGGTACCAGGAACACATTTTTGGTTTGATGCCATCGGCAAGGGTGTCGTGGTAGTTTTTCTAGTGGCGGGTCTTGGGGGTTTTGCACAGCTATAACCACCGGGCTGGTTGTAACAGACTTCACCTTCGCAACTGTCCAATCCTTCCGCACATTCGTCAATATCTATTAAATATAACAGTTTATGTTAAGAAAAAATAATGTGAGAAAGTTTTAACAATTCTATTGATTTAAAGAATTTGAGCAATTTAAAAAATTTGAAATATTTTGCAAACTGTTAATGTTCAAATTGTTCTCTTCATAATTTATAATAAAAAATGTAGTATGAATTATGTATATTTAAAGATGTTATAAAAGCGTGTAATGATAACGCATAGCACATAAAATGTAAATTAATAATGCGTACATTAATAAAAGCAAATTCATAAGCGTGCAAGCAATTATAATAAATCATACATGCTAATACACATGTTCCTATAAAATATATATGTTATACATTCCTTATTTTTGAGCAAAAATGCTTTTGACTTTCATCCTGAAAAAATGTTACAAATTACTTGCAATTAATTTATAAAAACGGTGGTTAAAAAATTAATTTGTTTTATCCATTGAAGGATACAAGACACTTCCAAAGAAGAGGTATAATAAGAGGCGATACTCTGATAAAGAAACTACTTTTCGCGATAAATGAAATGATACAATCAATTTAAATGTCCATTCGGTTATTTTCGTACTCGTTCGTGAACGTTCGCCCAGACTATATGTAGCTTTACTCGCGCCATCTCAGCTCACACGTGACGTAGGCCGTGACGTATGATTGGTTAAAGCGGTCACGTGTACAGAGCCGTCGATGTACCCCGCAAGACTTCTTGTGAGCCGAGGACAGTAGATTCATACATAGAGGTTATGGCACTTTGGACTAATTTATTATGTTTTAAAATATAATAATACAGATTTTAAAACTTGTACAGAAAAATATAGGGGACTTTATATTTTGTGATCCCGTCATTCTTTATGTTCTGTTTCATAATATATTTTCTAAAGCCATCATTTTATTATATTTCCTCTTTTCTCACTTTTTAATTATATGGAATTATATAATCCGGAGAAAAATTTGCCGCTTGACGATATACCTAATTTAAAGGTACAAGGGATCGAGCGACATCAAAGATACCGCCGGGAGTATCGCCTCTTATTATATCTCCTCTTTCACATTACCATAGTATTGTAATGCAGTAGACTCTCATATTACTTTATGAGCAATTTGACTTCCCCATGGATTTTTATGAGTCTGACACATATATCGTGCCTACGGTTCCGTTGGCGGCAATATACTGAGCGCCTACTGCACTACAACACTTTAATATCTTAATCATAAAAGTTCATGAAAATATACCTGTACACTTTCTTAATCGAGGATGATATCTGAAACCTGAAGGACAAGCTGGTTTCTGTCGTTGCCGTACAGAGGGTGTAGATCTTTCACATCTAAACAAAGTATTTTTGCAAATAGTGTATACAAACCAAAAGTTACCCTTTGAAGAGAGGGCGCATGCGCAGGCAGCCAGCTAGTGAGAAAAAATCCCACGACTGCGCATCACTGAGGTTAAGTAGATAAAACTTATAACAGTGAAAATGATAAACATGAAATTTTCATTTTTAATTCTGAATTATTGAGTCCGTGAGATATACCTGTAGCTGCCAGGTAGATTAACGCATTTTTCAGGGATCCTAGTGTCACATTTGTATTGACCAGTGACGCATTCATCGATATCTTCGCATCGGCCTGTAGGCAAAGAATATTCATAGCCAGATTGACAAGAAGGTAATCTGGTGACACATTCGAAACTGCCGTTTCTGTTGACACAGTACTGATGTAACTCCAATCGGCAGCTGTGTAAATTTTCCAAGCATTCGTCGATATCGACGCAGCTGCCGTCGAATGTACGCTTGAAACCACTATCACAGGGTGGTATTAACTGGCAGTAGAAAGAGCCGTTTGTGTTCACGCATTTGTGGGTAGTTTGCGGACAATCGTGTCTACCTATCAGACATTCGTCAACGTCTTGGCAACCTTTTATACTCGGACTAAAATACCAGCCACTGGTGCAGAGCGGTGAACAGTCGTAGCCTCCTGGTGTATTGTTACATTGTTCGTGATCTCGGCAACCAGGACCCACTGTACATTCGTCAATGTCCATGCACTCGCCATTTTTTAAATCTCTTGCATATCCACGTTTGCAAGGCTCCAGAAACTGATAACGATCGATACTCTGTGAAAATCATTCAATCTCTTATAGTAAATTAAAAAAAATATTAATATATTGAGATATTATTACAATGTGTACAGTATCGAGCATGGTAAATTTCCCTAGGGAAATTTAAAAATTCAAACATTAAGGCTTCAGAATTTCAAGAAATATTAAATAGAATTTTCTCGAGGAAACGTTTATACCCGAGTGATGGGCCCTTTTCCTCCCCAAAGGGATTATTTTCCCTAGGGAAACCTACCACGCCTAGTGAATTCAAGAAAATAATCATACCTGTATCTTATTATTCCTTGCATTATTTAACTTATTGGCTGTTGTATTTGTCGTTGTCGCGAGCACTTCACAAGAATAAGAACCTTTCGTATTAACACAATAATGGGTGGACGCGTCACAAGAATGTAGTCCAAGTACACATTCATTGATATCTTCGCAAACTTCTTCAATTTTATTGAAATATTTATCATTTTTGCGCAGTTCAAAACCAGGTGAACATAGAGGAGAACATCTATGTCCCCCCTCGAAGTTTATACACTGTTCGTCCTTTCCGCAGTTTGATAAATCGTTGCTGCATTCATCAATATCTAAATGCATCGAACAAATTGATACATATTATTTTTTACTCACATTGAAATAAAGTTATTGAAATAAATGTGAAGTAAATGAAGTAACAATATCGAATACTTACCCACACAGGTACCTAAATTCACATTATAGATAAACCCATTTGTACATTTTACATCGCACTCGTACGCACCTTCGGTATTTCGACATTGTTCTGTACCTTCGATGCAACTGTGAATTGCTTCCGCACATTCATCTACGTCTATTACAGCAAAAAAAAGATAGAAAAACTAAATTTATTTTATGAACCCTGTAATACTGAAATTATTTTAAAGAACTGAAAACATCGCAATTTTACTCTGCAATAATTTATGAAGATTTTAAAAAGTTGACGAATTCAAAAATTTTCAAAGATTTTAATAGAGAATAAACAATATAGAAAAATGTATGAATGGGAAACAAAAAATGCAAAAATTGATTGGCAATAATGTGCAAAGTTGTGTTCAACTTTAATGCAAATTTGAATCGTGTTAAAAGAGATTCGTATGTATTTTCTTCTCAAAAACCTTCGTATTGTATTGCATTTACCTTTGCACTGCTGTGATAGCTTATCAAATTTAAATCCAGCTGGACAAGATTTTGTCCCTTTCATTTCCAAGCAGCTAAAACTGCCTTGTGTATTGACACAAAAATTTTTCTGTTCAGGACAAGGTTTTGGTAATGTCAAACATTCGTCAATGTCTGGAAATGTAATTAAAATTAAATTCCCTTACAATTGGGAACACAGCAATATGATATGAAATTTGTAAAAAAAAAACTATAGGGTGCCTTATAACTCCCGTAACACCCGGAAATGGGGGTTGCTGGGATTATTCTGAACAACTTTTTCCTTTACCAAAACGTTGGTTAAAGCTTCGTTTTTGAATTATTAACGAAAAACATTGGCCAATGGGAGCGTTGGCTCTGAACCGCGCTCGGTCGTGAGCAAATGCATCGGCGCAGTGTTACCCTAGGGGTAACAGTCATGCGCAGTGTAGGATTTCTGGCGCATGCGTATTAAGAAAGTACTAAGTCCGTTTCAATAACGTGTACCTATGTTCTAAATATGAAATTTTTTGGAAATCGACTTTCAGTCAATAGTCACTGACATCAAGAAGTCCATAGATAGACTTCCGGGCGGTAAGGTGTTAAAAAGTTTAAAAAATATTCATACCTGTGCATCGACCCGGAATAGATTCCCATTCGTATCCAGGAGGACAATCTTCTTCTGATAGACTTTTGAGGATATTCTTTGTGGCGCATATATAAGATCCTATAGTATTCTCGCAACGGCCGGAACATACTCCGTTTTCGATACACTCGTTCACGTCTAAGCAATGAGATACACAACGCCAACGAAAGTAACCATGGACGTAAGCAAAACCGCAGCTCAAAATCACATAGACGTAGCGCTTAGAGACAAAGCACGCGTTATCAAGCAAACGTAAAACGTACTATTCTCCGTTCACAAGAAGATTCACAGGATGTCACAAGGGCAAGAGGGACACTACGACCAATCATACGTCGCGGCCAACGAGATGCGTGAGCTAAGGTGGGACGCGACCAATCAGATTGCGTAATTTTCTGGGGATCTCTTGTCAGCGGAAGACAGTACTTTTGAATAAAATTAATACTTTGATGCCATTATTTTTTTCTTCACATTTCTATTTCCTAATTCCTCTAATAGATATTACTGCTGATAAGGAAATAGAAATAATCGTTCTAAATAATTTAACGAGATACTGAAATTCTAAGATTATGAAATGTGACAAAATGCACGAACATGCATGTTGTACGCGAAAACTTATGATCGTTATTTTTAATATCTTTTTAAACACTCACCGTCGCAAACCTGATTTGTGGCGTTATAACGATAACCAGCTGGGCAAAGGGCTGAAAATTCATCACCTTCATTCGGTACGGTGGTCTTATTTTCTGACGACTTAGGGATGCAGGATCGTTTATCATTCGCCAAAACGTAACCAGGATTGCAACTGCATATTACAGCTACCCCATTGTCCGTACAACGTTGCTCGCATGGATTAGTTGATTTACATCTGTAAGGTAATCATTTTTCATTTATTATTCAATTGTTGTTTCAATAAATACGCAGTAGCGGATGCAGTAGCACTTGGGGAAGGGGAGCGCACTATGTAATATAATACTTTCATATAATTTATTACTCAGGGGGGGATCACCCCTGTTGCCCCTTCTGGATCCGCCACTAGAAACACGTTAATAATGAATGTATGTACCTATCGGTTGGAAGATTCTGTCTACAAGTTTTTCCATCTTCCAGTAGAGTGAAACCCTCGCGGCATTTGCAATAATAAGATCCTTGTGTAGGGACGCAGATATCAGAACACAGTAATCCTTTCATAAGTTGACAGATGTCGTCCAATGCTAAAAAATTAATCATATGATTATTATAGATCCAATGTTGCAATACATAGGGACGGACTTAATTTTCGGGCTTGGTAAATCTAGTAGGAATTTTCAAAATTAGTTTTTCTTGGTTTTACTTATTTATAAAAATTAAATGGTAAAGGGGGGCATGGGTACCCCAGTCACGAGTCGGGCGGGAACTCGAATGTTCGTCTAGCAAAGGCATGGGCAGATTGCCCGGGCAGGCGTGCACGCGAGTATGAAGTGAGCGTCGGTAAGTGGCTGATCTAAGGCGGTGTATTCTACTAGCCGCTCGATATTGCGTGTAGTGGGGGTACCGCTTGAAAGAGAAAGATCCATACGGGTGGAATGGTGGGGTAGAATAATGGGGCTTTCTTCTAATAATTATTAATAAATTATATTCCTTACGAGGGGTAGGTATCGATGGAGAGGAGGACGTTGAGTCTGAGCTCATATCCGTAGATGACGATGATGAAATCGAGAATGTTGACGAAGAGGAACTTGATTCAGTTTCCGAAGTGTCACTCGACGAAGTTGAGTTCGTAGAGTCTGAAGTTAACGTTGTCGTAGTACTTGGTGATGCTTCGTGACAGCATTCCAAAAAAGCAGGATCCCATGGATTTCCAAAATTGAAGCTTTTGAAAGCACATCCTTGACCCATAGATCCCGTTAAGATACCTAAAATTTAATAAAATCATATATTAATAATAATTCAGATTTATAGGTAATAACTCATACAGATGTAGATAGACTAAAAAAATCTATTAATAAACTTTTAATAATTAATCAATAGACTTTTTAATACCAATACCGATATCCCTTTTGAGTTACATCAAAGATATAAGGTGTTTTTATCCAGTGAAAAAGAGTAAAAAGTAGAGAAAATGATGAGATTCACCTAATTTACATGCTTCGCAACAATCTCGATGATAATCACCAGGACCTGCGCGTTTCGCTTTGGTACTGGTAACACATGCCAAACCAGCACGTGCATCCGATTTTCCTTTCTTGCATTGCTGTTCGTGATAGGCTCTCACGCAACAAATGTCCACAGCTTCCAAGCAAAGACCTTGCTCCACTGTTGGCACCCCAGGCACTGGTCCTGAGAACTTTTCACAACCAAGCCCTTCCATAGCCCACGCGGTACCCAGACCGCAGCATTTCGCAAACTGTACTTCCATTCTGGCCTCGGTCAACATCATTCCTATAAAAAAGTATCATTAATCAATTTCTTCGAGACGTTATTTTAAATATTATTTTTTCAGCATATCAGCCGTTTATTTTGAAAGTAGGGCACGTCCATCTTTTATTTCGATAAATTTAACAATATCAAAATTAATGAATTACTAATTTTAAATAATTCAAACACACGTTGATTTATCAATTATTCTTGAACTAAATAAATAAGTGGTATAAAATCAAACGTTTCGCCGAAAAGTTTTAAGGGCTGCATAATATTTGCATTGAAATTAGTGCTTGTGTACAATATATTTGTAAAAATGATTCTTCGTGTTTGTTTAAGTAGAAGTCTCTATAAATCAGTAAGGAACATATCAAGCAATCAAAAGGAAAATCATAATTTGTTCAGTGATAAGAATGAAACGAGCACGTATGCATCGCTTCATTGGAAAACTACGTATCCCCTTTTTTGCTACTGTTACTAACGTTAATTGACGTTAATTGCATTTGCATCTTCAAATTCAATTTCACTGATGATTTTATTTCGATTGAAACTTTTAATTATAATTACATATCCTAGAAAAAAATTAAAATTTCAGTTTCCCATCTTTTTTTCTTTTTAATTCTACTTCTATTTATTTCATTTATTGTTTTAAAATACACAATAAAATAAACTTACGAATGTACAATTAATACTGGTAAACTAATAACCATCTAATATTTTTAATATTGAATTAAATAAATAAAGTTTAACATTTACATAACTACTCTGTTCTTCTCATTAATCCTTACCCGGAAATATTAACTTGTTTGCAACTCCTATATCTATTTCTCGAACATTTATTGTCAATCTATCAGGAGTATTCTCGAATTGTTTATCTTCACAATTTATAGGAAACGTTACGTGCACTATCTCTAACTACTATTGTAATTCTAATAAGGGGACTTAAATAAATTTCTGATTTTCCTCTAATTTTTGTGTATAATTTTTTCTATTAAAAATATTATTATTATTGTTTATGTTGTGTGTATAATAAAAGTTATTTTTTCCATCAAATTTAGTTTGTCTTATTAAATTTCAAAAATATAATTTTTAATATAACATAATAATTAATAATTTTATAGAAAACATAACCGTTAAGGCGAAGAGAAAAAATTAAACCCGGAATTGGATTCGAACCCAAACACCCCAATTTGATAGGCGCGTACCACGCCGGTATTGCTACGCCACTGTTCAACTTGATAAGCAAGCCACATAATGTAAACGCAAAAACTGATCAATTTCTATTGCAAATTACTTATTAAGAATGAAGTTTTGGCCCATTATTAAGGGGTCAAATTATACTGCTCGTCTGACACTACATATACATGAATATGAAAAGAAATCAGTGAATATCTCATTAACGAGATACGAGTTAACGAGGATTTAGTTTGTTATCCATTGCGCGCGTCTTTTTCAATGCCCGCCAAGAAACTGTTTAAAATAATAATAATAATAATAATACCTTGTCTATGAGGGAGGAATTGTTGCAACTGAATTGCCAGAAGTAGGAAGAAAATCGTCCGTAGATCGTTGAATCGAAACATCTTGTCGTAAAATCAGTCCAATACTTATCTACGAATACTACCACTTTTCATTTGTAATTCCCGAATAAATTCGTTACCTCACTTGAAATATTAAAACCGTTCACGGAAAGGTTTGCTTCTGTTCGCTGCACTCCGGTCGAGCGCTCAGCATGCATTAAACTGTTCAGTTTGCCGGCACCTCGATTTTCTCTTCTGCACCTTTCTATGTACATCTCATTTCTCGAATCGTCCTTCTTCATCTTACAGTCATCTCCCTGTCACTCTTCTATCTTCCACCTTGCTTTAGTATGCGCGCGCATACGCCATCTCGGCTGTGCGTCGCTGATCTGAAACTTGACTTAACGTTCAGCCCCGATAAGATCCTTGAACCCTTTTATAACCTATTTTTCATAGAAATTTAATTTTTTCTTCTAAACGATAAAATTTAACTATCTTACAATCAGTGCAAATACGTTTTTTACGACGCTGAAATTATGCGGAATAAATAATAAATAAAGAAATGAACGAAAATCGTTGACGGTGGGGTTGACGTGGTATCGATAATTAATTACCAATTTCATTCATGCTATTATCGAGACGAAAAACGAAAAGTACGATATCGACTCGCACATTGCATGGTTTCCGTTGTTGTGTGAGTACACATATACAGCTCATGGCACAAGGAGTACGTTGGTCGACCGAGGGGCATCACCATGTTAACGAAGTTAGGATGACCGTGACACGCGCAACTCGGTGACGATCGTGTAACACCCGCGTTACAGTGTCTTATATTGTGAAAAAGTCGAATATTTCGCCATCCGCGTAGTCGACGTCTGCACGCTTACGCATCGTCGTCGAATCTAAAGTACCTTTTTTCCTATCCTTCTCAATGGCAACATATGGACGATCTTGTTCGTATTCCGAGAGAGAACCAAGAAATCTAGACAAACAACGCATAACGATGATATAATATAAGGAAGATAAGGAATGCCTTACGAAGAAACTGTACAGAGTAAATCTTTCAGCTGACAGATTTCTAGATATTAAACGATGACTTTCATTTTTCTCTTGCATTCTTTTCTAACCGTTATACGCTCATCAGAAATACAGTGCCTCGCATTCATATTTACAAGAGGAGCTTGCTACGAGATATTCACCAATTTTTTTCATTTTCATGCATATTGTAATATCAGACGAGCAATGTATCCCTTTGTCGTTAACGAGTAATATGATTTTCCCAATTTCTAATCCAAACAATTGAAACCTACGAAATGAAACCTGGTTATTGAAATTGACTCGGATTCGTCAATACATACTGAACTTGATCCCATCCCCAATCGTCGATAGTATAGATCAGTGTTGGGCAAAAATAAAAAATTCCTACTTTCATCAATAATCGCAATTAATGACTAAATTCGTGCCTTAATCATTAATTACTATTAAATAGTTTTTAATCGACATCCACTGCCCAGCAGCCATCACCACCGATGGCACCGGGCAAGGATAAACTGCCTTTTCATAGTTTCGCCAATCATCGAATCGGATACGGAAGACCCAACACTTAACTCTTCGTCGGCGTTTAAGGAAAAATGTAGATAAGAGAAACATTGTTTAATTAATTATTATTCGAAAATTCTCAAATTATATAGTTTTAAGAAAAGCTGAAGAAATTATTAAGAGAAAATTAAATTAAAATTGAGACTTTCTCCATGGTCGCCGTACGAGGGTTAAGAAGGAATGGGATGAATCAACTAGGTATAAAATTAAGTTAAGATTCATTTTGTGAATCAAGTCATTTTCATAGTTATGAGGATGAAAATAATGAAGTTTTGTACTATTCTATTACTAGAAATTTATCAAACTAAAAAGCGATGCATTGTTCGCTAATGACTGCATTTTAATAATAAATTTTATTTGAAGATTATTTTTTTCCTTTTTGTTCATTTACGATGACAAAAAGTTCTATGTTAGGCTTTCCATCATTTCCTAGATTTTTTCAGGTACGAAAACAAGTAACAAAAGTCCCCCTTTTCATACCTTTATCCTTCATCAAAAAAAGCCTACGTTGTATCTGATTGTAAAGTACATACTGAGCATGGAAGGCTTCCCTAGAGGGAAAATGGCAATACAAGGGAAGAGGGTTCCATCAAAATCTTAATTTTGAAGATAAGAAATTATTATAATTGTTAATTATTAAATATTATAAAATTTAATGTATACATTGAATTTCAAATTTCAAAGTAATTGAAATACAGAATTAAAAATTTAGATTTTGTTAATTCTAAAGTGCAAATTTTAAACTTAAAATTGTTAAGTTTTGAAATTTTCAAATTCAAGTTTTCGAAACTGCCAAGTATTAAAATTTACATTTCAAAGTTCTAAAATTTAATTTAAGTTTCAGAATACAAAGTTCCAAAAAAATATCAATAATAAAATAAATATTATACAACATTTTATCGAAGAAACGTTTACACACAAGTAATGGAACCTTCTTCCCCTGAAGCAGTGATGTCCAGTTGTGGAATTTTTTCTCACTAAGAAGCTGCGTGCGCATGCGTAACTGACATTACAGCTAGTGACATCGCATAATGCCATGGCTGTATACATATGCACTTGAAAGAGGCCCGCGTATTTTCTGCACTTTTTCACACCGTTATAACAAATGTTGGTATTCGTATAATAAATCGGCTGCAGACGTACAAAATAGCAGTACATTTTATTGGTATTATTTATGTAATATTCGATTTCATTAAATTAAAACTTTCTCCCCTCATTATAATTTCTGGAACCTACTGATACCTTATATTTAAAGAAGTACGTCACTGAGAAACTCCTAATGCTTACTTACTACGCATGTGCCAGAAATCCCACACTGCACCTCACTGCCCTAAGGCGCCATTTTTCCTGAGGAAGTTCATCATGCTCGATGTTCTAAAATTTTAGAAAACATTGTTATTTATTGAAGAGAAATTTAACTCGGACAACAATTCGAATAATCGCCGTTTTGTTTCACATCCCTGCTTCCCTTTACACCAATCAAACATTTTTGTAACGAATTTTTTTACAGTTTTCAAGTATAAATAATAGAACAATGCGTGTTTAAATCTTACATTTACCGCTATGCATTACATTTTTCATGATCGTTCCTCCCTTTCATCTCCTTCCTTTGTCATATCAATCTTCAAGAAAACAACATTTTTGTAACAGAAAGAAGAAAATTATAAGTAAAATCTAGTAGTTTAGAAAGTTTTTACTGACAAATAAAAGCAAAACGTAGAAAAATGATTGTTTGTTTAAAAATTGATACAACAAAATTCTTTTATTCCTAGATGATGTAAAAAGTAAGTACTGTCCACCGATCACAAGAAGTTTCGCGGAACAGCACAGAGGCAAGACGGGGTACTACGCACACATCAACTGACACCAGCCTAATTAGTGATGTGATCGCTTCGACCAATGATACGTCACGACTGAAAATACGTGACCAATCAGATTAGATTATTCTCATGGGACTTCTTGTGATCGATGGAAAGTAAACATTTCAGATAAAAAATGTGTGTCCAATTCATTTCTTGTATTAAAATGTCTTATATTCACCTTAATCTTATAAGTAGTTTCAAATATAAAAACTCATTCCTATCTTAAACTGACAACTTTATTTCGTTCATTTGTTGTATGATTGCGTGACACGATTACGCCGATTGATTCAAAAAATGCTTACATCCAGTTTGTTTTTATGTCTATTCTGGTTCATTTTCGTTTCGGACTTCAGGTGTCCCTTTGTGCGACCATTATAGACGCAAGACTATTATGTCACGTGTATTTTTCAATAACGTTAAACAGTATGGAACACAATTGGCTTCTCTAGGAAAAATAGCGATGTCTCACCAAAATTTTAATTTTGAATTATTAAATATTATAAAATTTCAAAATCCCCAAAATTCAAATTTTAAAGTTTGAAAATTCCAATATTGAATGCCAAGTTTCATAATTTTTAGATCCGGATTTGTACATATCAGAAAACAAAGTTTCAAAAAGTATTTAATGATAGAATAAATATTAAATGAAGTTTTACCTAGGGAAGCCTACCATGCTTAGCACTGAACATTTCCAGGATAGTGGCTGGTAAGTTTCACAATAGAATATATTTGTATATGAGTGCGCACCTTAATCCTCGAACAACGGAGTCTGGGTCAATATAAATCTTCAGTAACAATACATATACAAGAATATCAACCTAAATTTAAATGTATAGTTTGTCAATAAAATAGTTTCATAATTCTTACAGAAAGTGTAAAATTAAAAAAAAAAAAACGAATAAAATGTGGGACTCTTTCTATGATCCGCTGCCCGAGGGTCAAAGTATTCTAGGACGAATCAAATAATTGTTAACTTCGTTAAACGTTAACTGTTACCGTAGAAAAATAGGAATCTTATACTAAGAGATTTTTCAATATCATTAATAATTTGAATAGAAAGATTATCTCTTTAAGTTCGAAATTATCTTTTATCCAAGATCTACCAAACAGGTTTCATTTCAAAAACGTTTCTTATATAGCAATTAAATCATACATTTGTTTTGAGCGATTTAATTATTTGATTTTTCCTAGATTCCATAGGGAACGCCGATGAAATTTTTAATAGAACCTTTTATTCGTACCGAGATTTAAAATCGTTTGCAATGTGATCCATCGTTGGCACATCGCTGGAAATATAACAGGGTTGTGATTACTTCTGATTCTAACATCACCTTCGGATCGTAACAGTAATTTAAAAAGATGCTGCTAGAATCAGAAGTCTCGTGAAAAACGCTTCAGACGTATTTTCTTTTCCAAATAGTAGAAATGTTTATAACGTAAATCTGGAAGAATAAGAACGAGGTGACTTTTCGTACATCAATTTACATTTTGAGCGTGACAAGTTTCAATTCATCATTCATTGAAATTAATATTTCTTTCTCTATACATGTGGAATAGTAGCGTTGCGCCGGGTTTAGATAAAATTTCATGCATAAATACAATAGGATATACTTCGTTAACTTAAACTATCACTAGATTAAAGTATAATTTTAAATAATTAAAAAACTCTTAATCGATACATCCTTTTTATATTTTTTCTGCAGATAAAAATAATGTAAGTTTAACATTCTTTATCATAAAATAGTAGTATCCAAACAATACAAATAATCGTATGAAAAATAATGATTTTATAAAAAAAAAAAAGAAATTATGTACGTTTTATACACTTTTGTACATGTCCCTACATTTTCCGATATGTTGTTAATCCACTTTCAAAGTAACTTATTAAATAGTCGTATATAGAGAAGTAAATGTATTAGTTACAATTTTCTACAAATCTATTATTTAACTGTTACAAAAAAATAAATCTCTCAGCGACAAATATTTGCTGTATTGTCACTCTCAAAAATATCTAAAACACCTCGTTCCGGAATTAATGTAATAGAACAAATATTCGTGAGGAAACAAGATGAAAAGAACACCTGTCCACAATCTTGTTACATCTTATAATTTATTTACTCCTTAATGTAATTGTAACACAATGAAGTTGAGCAGGTGTTCTTCATCGTATACCTACTATATAGAGAATGACTAGGCCATATGAATATAACTTAGGAATTTCCGGTACTCTATTATATTCCATTATTAAAAAAAAAAAAGTACTGTGTAAAACCTATCTAATTTATGTAAGACCGTATTTTCTTTAATTTCGGCACAATCGAGTAAATATTGTTACTTTTGTACACGCGATTTTCATTTGCGCCGATAAAGATTAGGTCTGTTTAATTCAGTTTTCTATTTATATTTTTCTCAATATCGTCCCGAGGTTTATTCATATGGCTCATTATACTCTGTCCTGCACACTTCATCTATTTTCAATCAATGTGATGCGTATTTTCAGCGATTCTTTTTTCATTGTCTATGACTGTAACCATTGCTGTGAGAAACAAACTTCAAATCCTATTCTGGTTCTTCCCCATCTGCATCTGTAATGCAAACATAATATTATGAAACTATAATAACTCTAAATAACTTAAAAATCACATATTAATATTCTCTATACCTTCACGAACAACTTCGTCGTCTACTAAAAAATCGTCTTCTTCGTTTACCCCATCGTCTTCATCATTCACAGCCTCTTCTTCCTCTTCATCTTCATCCACATCATCTTCAACCACAACTATACTATCGTCTCCTTCTTCACCCTCCCCTGCTTCATCGCCGTCATCCGCACCACCTTCTTCTTCCTCCTCCTCTTCTTCTGTGTCACATTCTTCGCCATCCCCTTCAATACCGTTTTCAACATCCATATCTGGTGCCAAATAATACTAAAAACATATTCTTATTATTATTGTTATTATTATGCAATAATACAATTAATGTATACTATATCACAATATAATTTACAACCATCATACACACATTAATATACCTAAGGGAATTAATATACCTGCAATGGATTAGGCCACATATCATCTTTAATTAACTCTGCTATTTCGTCTGAACTTGGGTCCCCATGATCCGTAAACCAATCAAAGAATGACCTGTGTTTCAGTGGCCTTTTACGACCTTTCAGTGGGGCTTTGGTTTTTGCTCTTTTCGTTAAGTCTGCGCCTTCTTTCCAACGTATAGGTGTGCTTTGTGATGCTGGATCTCCTGCAAAAGTGCAGGAGATACATCAAAACTATGATTATCCAACAAAAAGTTTTGCTACTATTTTAAATAAATTAGAAGAACACACAATAAAACCTTATATTTATGAACAATAATATTATAATTTAATAAAAGTAACTTCAAGAGATTAATAGCGATTGATCTTAAAATGGGCTCACCAGAAGAACCTAGATGAAATTCCTTTGTAAGAACATCATTTTCAAAATATGGGTTTTCATCAAAATAAAAATTAATTCTATATCCAGATTTGATGTCTTCAAATTCTTCAACTTCTAATTTGTTTAAAAACCGAAGCGCATCTTCTTCATCTTCTTCCAATATTTCTGCTATTTCTTTATTGTTTACAAACTATTTATGTGTTAAGGAATTCTATGTAATATTTTGTACATTTACAGAAAATGATTATACACTAAATTCAATGATAAATTATGAATATTTATTATATATAAAACTAATAGTATCTATTACTGTATCACTAATATGTTATTTTAAATATAATTTCATTTGCTTTGACTAAAATTAAGTGTAAAAGATTAAATTAGTTCATTTATTAATACATACAATTTACCTTTGTATTTTTTTAATATTTCAAAACTGTCCTGTAGAGTAACTTGTATTGCAATTTGTAATGTATGGTATCATATAAAATAAGAATATATTAAATATATTACAACAAAGGGCTATTTTTCCGCGACGATATTTTTCAACAAGAATTTTAATAAAAAATAAATAAGTTTATGTTACATTCCGCGTGACCGCATGTAGTTATACGTTTACAAGTAGGCAAGATGGCGACTAGCGCCGGTGGACGCCGGCATTGTCGAGAAACGTCAAAGATACATTAATAACTATTATTAACGAGTACGTAATATCATAATACGAAAGGATACAGCAGTAACCCAAAAATTGGGTATCCTTTTGATAATGTCATTCCGCTTCTGAAAATAGGGCTTACGCAACTTATTATACTTCTTCTCAACTTCGAGGATTTCGTCGCTGGCCTTCTCATTGAGGCCATCGATTTGATTCTGACACCCGTCGATTTCTTCGAGTGTCTTCTGTATTTCAATATCATAATCACGAGATTCAACACCCTCGCCCGAACCTGGATCCTCTAATTCCTTGGCCTTTTTATTCGGCGAAGACATCGTTCAACCCGCGCTCTTGTCACTACACCACTATGTTTATTTTCAGTATACACTCACTCCGCGTTCGTCACGCTCGTATCGCAAATTCGCGGCGCGCAAGCAAGCTGAGCTCTAACCACAAATCCGATAATGTAACTAGACGTGCAACTATATTAGAAACTTCTACTCCATCTGTTATTGTAACAGAATAACAAATTTTTGAATCAAAGTTAGTTCTCATCACAAGCGAACGTACTTTTCGGAGAACGACTTTTCGTTTGCATTGCGCAAGTTAGCTCTGATTGGTTATAATCGCGGTCGTACCCAGGGCCAGGCCCTCCTAACTTCCATATTTCGTGCTGTAATGCAAATTAGTTCATGCGCAAGAATACTTGGATAGCTGATGTCACTACGAATACATTATATCGATGATACGTATACCGCAGTTCACCAGAGTCCATAACTGCGACGCGCAGGTTGGAAGATGGTGGGGGAACGCAGCGAGCTCTCTGCTAATCGCTTTCCACTTCGTTTGGAAGTATCGCCAATCAGGGCGAAGATGCGCACTGGAGAAGCGCGAAGAACGAAAACTGGTCTTTTCGCAGTTATGGACTCTGGTGAACTGCGGTATACATACACAATTGGCGCGACCAATCAAATTGCGTTATTCTCATGGAACTGCTTATGATTGATTGACAGTAAATATTTAAAATAAGATTTGGAAAAGGTTTAATTATCAATTCCCAATTATTTATTAAGTACAAATTCGAACACACAGTTTTCAGAAAAATACTGTTTTTTAAAGAACTGTTGAAATTCATAAGAAAATACACATCTAAGAATTACTATTTTTATTTAAGCATAAAAGATTCCTTCTTATATGCTTCTGTATGACAATTTTACTGAATTTTTAAAACTCTGACTTTAAAAACAACCATAGCTGTTTAATATATAACAGTTACATACTCTTTAGTTTATTTAAAACTACTTTTCTTATGTGCGTAAATGCAATAATTATAATAATTAGCAAATTTATCTCTATATATTACATATATCATTTTTACTTATCATTAATTCCTCTTTTTTTTAACAGCATCGAATTGCCGAAAGGTCGAAGTAATTACAATTACTACAAGTTTAAATTTGAAACTTCAATTGTATTACAGATTAATTTTGTGCTTGAAGAAAAAGGAAATTGAAAATTTATTTTTAAAAATTATAGTAATTTCGATTATTAAAATAAACATTATTATCAATGATCATGCTTCACTTGTCAATAGTATTTTAAATGCATAAGAACACAGGGAAATATTTAAATTTGAAATTGTAATCGAATTAATATGTACACCTAAGATTATGGTACATTTCATTTCTTGTATATAATTTATATCAAAGAAATAAATATACTAATATTAGGATTGTAAATTTACATTATAAAAGCACCAATACATTGAATTATAATTTTAACAAAGAGGTAAATACTTCACATGTTGTACAAGGTGTTAAAAAAAAACCATTCGAGATTTATATGATACGTGGGTCATACCATCCTGATTAAAATACTGTTCATATGTATATAATAATTAGTAAAGGCTATTTACTTAGATTTTTATAATCAGAATAGTATGCCCTATATATCATATAAATCTTAAATATAATTTTTCAACAACCTGTATAAAACTATCTACAACAATAAAGCCTTGCATTGATAGGTTGCAGAAATTGATTTATGGCATATTATTTAATATATTTTTATACTAATTACTAACATGATTACATTGTATTAAAAGTGACAAGTTGTTAATGTAATACTTATTATTAATAAAATATAATAATTTCTCTAATGAGGTTCGTGTAAGATTCATTTCGAATTTATATGCCGTTATGAATTATAACTTTGTCAGTATGCATTTAATACTTTAGTAGCAATGATAATCATCAATTCATTTATAAATATCTGATAAAGCGAGTATAGAGTGAGTATTTTTTGAAGAATTAATATACCGTTAAAACAATGCTTGTTTTGTTATTTATATTCCATACAAATGAGTTACTTTGAAAAATAGATATCTGAAAAATTAAAACTTTTAAGATAATAATGTTTTGAATGTTTAATAGTCAATTCCTGTAAATGCTATTATAATTGACAGTTCCTTCTTACTTAAAAATAGCTTTTCTTTACAAATGTTCATTACAAAAATAAGTATAGGTAAACTATACGCGTTTCATCACTTTCATGTACATTGTATAATATCAAAGAGTATGAAATATAAATCTTTTGTATACAAAGTTACTTAAAAATCATTCGCAAGTTAACAACCAAAAACTTGCTTCATATATTTGTTGAATAATGTTCAGCTTTACCTTAATTTTTCATTTGTACTTTTAGTAACTTCCTGCTTAATATATCTGTCCAGGTAATTGTTGGTGCATTTAATTCTGTGGAGGAATAGCATTTTGCAAACTTATAAAAGAAAATGTTTAAGACTCTAAGTCTCCACAAGTGCACATAATATTACATTTCTTCTGCACTGTAAAATGATTACATAGAACCATTCTTTTGTGCTTGTAGTTTTTTATATTCAACGAACAAATTCTTCATATCGTCTAACGACTTCTCTATTTGTTTTGCAAATCTGGCAGCATTCTAAAACAAGTAAAATTATGTTAAAAATGCGATTAATAATAAGTTTATTTAATACACTTACAGTTTTTGGAGAACTACGTTTGCATGAGATATGGAAAAACAAAAGATTTTCTCCAGCAATAATATAAGAAACCCCATAACCATCATCGGCCACGGGGCCAAAACCACCTCCCGCAGAAATACAATTAGGATGCTTTTTCAAATTTATTAATGATGTTTGACCATGTGGAGTCTGTGAAGTAGATAACTTCCATGGTTCGCTTAAAACTTCCTGAAAAACAGAAATTACAATTCAAAAATTATCTTCCAGGTAAATATATTATTTTATAAATTATCACCTTCAAGAAAGGAGAATCCACTTCTAAATACTTGGATACTACATATAAACAAAACAGATGTCTATCTATTCCTTTGCCACACATTGCATCTTGATAACCTTTCTGATGTTGCTTTGCTGCTGCTAGCAATAATTTATATTTAAGGTCTATCTGTAATAATAAAATGTTTATACATGCGATACAAACTGTATAATTAATCGTTATAGCCAAAGGGTAAAGCAGAATAAAATGGACAAAAGTGCCATTGATGACAATGCGCAATTCAATAGTCTATCAAAAGAAACAGTGAACTGTATGTTAGGCTCTTTGTATAAAAATGTATAATATTCATAAATATTTTATCATAGTTGTTTGTTATTATAAACAGAATAAAACGTTTATTAATCAACATTAAAAACTTAGATTTTATTATAAAAATTTGAATTACTTACAGTAGCATCTTTATCTTCCATTGTTTTAACCCACTCTGTAGATTCAATTGTACATGGTCTTACTGTTTCTGTTCTTCCTTCTCTGAACAGTCTAGTCATGGATGCTTCATAAGTTAAATTGAATTTACCAGAATCACGGAAGTAGGCCAATTGAAGAGCCATTTGTATATATGCATCCGGTGACATAGAATTAACTTTCATGAAACCTTTACCATATGCATTGTGTACATAAATGCGTAATTCAACGTCATTTAATAAATTCTGTGCAACCTAATAATTAAAAGTATTATATAACATTTCTCTTTTTTAACAGATATTTGTTCATTAAAAATTTCAACAATTTTTTTTACTTCATTTGATTTTTCAATAGCTTCTATACAATTCTGGTTTAAGTCCCATTGAAGCCGTGTAGCAGGTGGAGGTGTAAATTCAGGTTCCCCTTGAACGTGACCATCCTCTTTATATCTGCAATATATTTTAATGAATACTTTAAACCATAAGATATGGTAAAATAAAATATAGTTATAAAGTATAATGAGAATGAGCAATAAGCAAGTTTATACAAAAATCCAAGTTGCAGTTTATGAATATGAGTGTGTGTTATTGTTTATGAACACAAACACTATAATAAAATCGTACCTTTCGATTAAGTAGATAAGATACAATTGCTATATTGTATATAAACAATAATAAATGGAAACTATTCAATACAGTTTTTTTTTATTAATAAGCCACTTACGATTGTTTGAATTTTATATAATTATTGTAATAAAAATGTAACAAGTAAAATAAATAAAAGCATGAGTGTGCATGTTAAATTTTATGTTTTACATTTACCTTCCAAGAAATTTTTAAATAAATCTTGATTTTTTAGCAGTTTTTATTATTAAACTGTTTGTGTCCATTTTGTTCTCCACACATTACAATTTTTAACAAGAAAATATGTATAAGTTCATAATAAAGTTTAGTAAATGATTGTGCTTCAAATATTGAAACTAATGACATTTTACCAGGTACTTCTTGGTTTAGTCGTATTTCACAAGAGGAGATCTTGTTAAATTTTAACATTAAATATTTTGCTATTAACTATATATATCTAGAACCGCACATTAGTAGTTACAGTATCATTGTGTAGAAGTTTATTGAAAAGTTAATGTCTTTAATCTCCTGAAAGCATACGTGTAACAATTCACATACATATTATATACACAGTGTTAGTATATAGAAAGGTATGGTGTTAATAGAAAAATAATTATGAAAAGTTACCCCATTTCCACATCATTAGCTATAACATATTCCCATAGAGATCCCATGATAGGTGCGTCTGCCCTAATAAGAGCATATTGTAGAAAAAATTATTAAATCTATTACATTTAAAATAAACATTTCAATTTTGTTAATTATTAAAATGATTAATAATTGAAAAATAAATAAAACAAAGAGATGGCAGAGTTCATATAAAAAAGTATTGACTATTAAATTTTCCTAAATCTTGAATGACAAATTTTAATAAACGTGGTTTTTTTAATCAACAATTAGCTTATGTTTACAAAAATATATTTACATTTATTTTACTTTATATCAAATAATGAATTTGTATTGTACTACGGATTAATATTTTGCTTACGAGAATTGTTTAAAAACAAGAAAGTACAATTTTTACAAAAATTGAGTATCTACATAAAATTTAAAGTACATTAATAAATCAGTTAAGCTTGAAAGTAATTATTGAAGTTTTTCAATAATAGTTAAGGTAATTACAGTGAAGGTTTAAAGTGAACGCAGAATAAGTAGAAGAAGCAAAAGAACAGTAACGAGTGAAACCTAGCACCGTGAAAGCAATGAATTTAAGATCCTTACTTTCCA